GCGCCACGACCAAGAGAGTTAGGGCAGCATTTTTATTATTTTGTGTTTCTCATCGCCCCTTCTAATTTTATTGCCCATCCCCCTGACTCTTCCCACCCCTTTTCATTCCAACACCGCTGACTCGAACCTAAAACGTACCGCCTCATCATATAAAATCTTTATCCAGCCACAATGTTTTAATTCAGTCGATGCCACAAGTCCAAAGAACGCAAGAAATTGTAATGAGAATTACAATCAATGAGAATCAAAACATTATTCGGATAATTAGGTCTTTATTAAGTTTTAGTTTTCCCCGGCCGACCGACCCATGTTCAGAATTAGGTGGCTATGTGAAACACATAAAAAATCATGCCCTTACATCGTATGACTTGTATTGGGAATGTCGCCGCACAATGTGAAAACAATGACACGTTGGCTTCATTTATGATATGGATTTCGGCACTCCCGTGATGAGCCACCTCCTCGTAGTGGGTGCTGGGTAACGCTAAGCGCCCCTTCAACCCCCGTTGTGGACCCGGGGTATATTTGGTCCACCAACCGGTTGCGCCCCTGTGTCGGTGGAGGACGGGAGTCTGGTGGTTGAGGGCCAACACACCACTTCGGCCCTTTACTTCACCTAGATGGGTGGTTGAATGGGCCAGTTCCAATAATAGAGCAATGGATTTAGTGCTCAGGGCTCGGTACGACCAGCCGGTGGCTTATTTTACAAGGACACAATATTGACATGTTTTGTTTTGTGTATCTACTATGTGACATGAATTTTCAAATTTTGTGAAAATTTGCCTTTGATGCCGGTGCCAGAAGGCGGTGGCTCATGGGCCAATCTGGTAGAATGATTGATTTTTCATTTGTCTGCTGGAGTATGTCATCCGGGTATCCATGGTGCTGCAAGTCGGAGATCCACTTGTTATTAGCATCTGTCTCTTTGTGATAATTCGTGGTGGGAAGCTCGGATGTTATCTTAATCACAACTAAACACATTGTTTAATAATTGAGTTTAATAAATCCTATCAAGATGGGGGAGGGGGGTCACTTTTTAGTTTTAATGGGGCAGTTGTCCTTGGGGCATTTAGCCTAGGGGCAGCTTGTCCGGGGCACACAATGGACGGGGGGCAGATAGCCAGGGGCAGTTGTCGGGGGCAGTTGTCCGGGGGCAGTTAGCCTGATACCGCTCGGATGATGAAACAAGTACTAACTCAATATGGCTTGCACCAAACTCCCTCGAAAAAGACCAAACGACAACTCGACAATGACAATGAAGAGAATGATATATACTGAGTCAAAAAGAAACTTCACAAAATGTAATTTGAAAAATAATGAATAATTTTTCTCTGATGATACATCTATGTATCCGAAATGGGATCCCTATCTTTCGACTCTAGAAAACGTTAGCAAAACCCACTCAAACCCATCCATTCGTCGTGCAAATGACGTTAGTGCCAAATCAGGTTTTGCACGTGCAGTCGATCACGTGATCTTCGCATCGAAGTTTCTTCATATGCACGTGTTTGCATTGGCCTCAAGAATTGAAAAAACACTTTTAAACCACAGTTCTAACGGTACTTGAAATGCCACGATTGTCAAATGTGCAACGTGAACGTGCCGTTGGCATGTTGCAAGCGGGAAGATCAGTTATTGACGTCGCAAGAGCAATGGGATGCAGCCGTCGTACTGTGTATGACTTGCGAGGTCGTCTACAACAAACTGGCACCACTTCTGATCGCCCAAGGTCGGGTCGTCCACGTGTGACGTCACGAGCAGAAGACCGTCAAATCGTCCTACGTCACCTACGTGACAGATTTCTGCCGGCTACACGAACCAGGGCTGAGATGTTTAGAGGTCGACTGTCCTCACAGACCATTCGAAATCGGTTGCGGGCTGCCAATCTCCATTCTCGACGTCCATATCGTGGGCCAATATTGACGCTGTTTCATCAACGTCAACGTCTGCTGTGGGCCCAACGTCACCTCCGATGGACCCAGAGAGACTGGAATCGAGTCGTCTTTAGCGATGAATCCAGGTTTACCCTCAGATTCGCGGACGGCAGGCATAGAGTCTGAGACGACGTCGTGAACGGTATGCCCAATGTTGTGTACAGGAAGTCGACAGATTCGGGGGCGGAAGTTGCATGGTGTGGGTGCTTTCTGTGGGAACAACCGTTCCCGACTTCTGGTCATCCGTGGAAACCTCACAGCTGCTGCTTACCGCGACCAGGTGCTCACCCCTGAACTCGTTCCTTTCATGGCGGCTCATGGCCCAGGTCTACAGTTCCAGCATGATAATGCTCGGCCGCATACCGCGATGTTGACACGAAATTTCCTTCAAAACGCTGGAATCAACGTCATGGACTGGCCATCGAGGTCCCCTGACCTTAATCCAATAGAGCACGTTTGGGATGCACTTGGGAGAAGGCTTCGTGGTCTTAGGAACCAACCTCAGAATTTGCAGGAACTTGGCGCTGCCTTGCAAGAGCAATGGCGCAGAATCCCCAACCACGTGTTCACAAGCATCAGGCAGTCGATGAGGAGACGGTGTTTGGCAGTGGTGAATGCGCGGGCGGCCATACACGATATTGAACTGAGAAATTTCTGCATTTTTATTCTTGTGACTTGACATTCTGTATACCCATGTTTTGGAACGGCGGTGTAGCCTAATGGAACTGATTATGGCACTGTCAGTGTATCGAGTACATCACACAGATCTCAGCAATGAAATAATAACAATTTAACCATCTTACCATCTCTTGTTCTTTATAGTGCCCTGAAGAAAGAATGTGAAGTTTCTTTTTGACTCAGTATAGATTTATACTGATTAAAATTAAATTATAAACACCTGTCAACGAAGGACAGTAAACAGCCAGGATTATCATATATATATATATACCCGTGATAATCTAGATGTTTACTATCTGTGATAATCTAGCTGTTTACTGTTCTTCGTTGACAGGTGTTTATAATTTAATTTTTAATCTGTATAAATCTATATCTTGTTTTAGTCACGATATGGTTGAAAACATTGCCGATGTGACTTTAAATCTTAACTCACTCACCATGATATAATTTCAACACAGCATCGTAGATAGGTACAGTAGGTGTCCTCCCATTTGTGAGAACTCCCAGTTGTGAGACACATTAATTAATGGTTCAGTGCACATTCCTACAATGAAAGTACTGACAGGAGGCATAGTTCATTGATAAGTTGATTAATGAAATAGATTATCAAAGATTATATTTACACAGAAGAAATAGTTCATTGAATATTTTATTTATTCAGAAGAATATGTAATTATGATAACACATTTTCATTGACTATTAAGAAGTTTGAAAGTCAAATTTTGGTTTAAACATATTTTATTATTATTTATGAAAATGAATTGGGATTGCTGGAAGTATTACAACTGCTTATGTTAACACCCGCTCCCATGCAATATAAAATATAAAATGAAATGGAGGATGAGACGTCATCGATATTGACTATTGCATAAATATATTGGCGTTTGGGTCGCTAGGATCCGAGCCTGAGGCAGCAATGAACGATTTGACAAAAACAAGAGCCATAATTAAGATCAATATAAATCTTTGTTTTCGGTGTTTGTAATTAGGTTTTAGAATTCTTTGAGACTGCATGACTCTTTTGGTATTTGGTAGGGCATTCCATAAATTTATTGTGTCGGGTAGAAAGGGTTTGGCATAAGGGGCATTTCGACTGTAAATTTCATAGTTATTTCAGAGTTATTTCTTAAACTATTGCTTGTAGTTTCGGAGACGGAGTAAATCTGAGTACTAGGTAAATTAATTTCTCTTTGATCACGAAGTTACCTACACAAAGTGTTTAATTATTAAAGACATTTACCTGAGTATGTTAATGAATGTATCTTATAACGTTTCATTGACCGCCTCCGTGGTGTAGTGGTTAGCTAGAGCGTCCGCCCGGAGAGCGGAAGGTCGCGGGTTCGACCACCGACCACGTCATACCAAAAGACGTTAAAATATGGTACTTGTTGGTCCCTGCCTGGCGCTTGGCATTATTGAGTACAACAAGGACTGGTAGGCTCGGAGTCAGTATAATGTTTCTGGAGTGGGGTATTCATATGCTTCACTGCGGCATGGTATCTCAGTGGGCTAGCACTACAAAACCAGCTTAAGTCTTGGCTTGCCGCTAGCAGCCGCACATACACACGTATGCACATCGTCATATGAGCGAAATATTCTCACCTCACCTATAACGTTTCATTAAGTTACCTCCACAAGATTCAGTTACATAGCAAATCAGTAATTAGCTAGGTGAATCCATTCCATCAGACAGGGGTATGGTGTGTGTTTCGTTGTTAATTACCTACTCCACTGTCTCATAACTGGGAGTCTCACAACTGGGAGTTCTCACAAATGGGAGTGAACCGTACAGTATGTACATGACCATCACTCTGAGTGTATATTCCTACCCACAACGTATATTCCTACCCACAACGTATATTCCTACCCACAACGTATATTCCTACAACAACGTATATTCCTACAACAACGTATATTCCTACACAACAACGTATATTCCTACAACAACGTATATTCCTACAACAACGTATATTCCTACCCACAACGTATATTCCTACCCACAACGTATATTCCTACCCACAACGTATATTCCTACCCACAACGTATATTCCTACAACAACAACACCCGCACACTCACAAGAAGTGACACAAGCGCTCAAACCCAATATTTATTGACTGGTGAATTGTAAATAAGAGCAAGCGACCTTTAAACATTTTGTTAGATGTTAGTCAATGATTATACAAGTGTTAGACAAATGTTCACAAAGTATAGTTAGACAAGTTGGTAGACAAGTGCGTGGGCCATGAGGAGAAGGATACCAGAGAGGGCCGGGCGGATGGCCTACTTCAGTTACAGCGGAGGTCCACTTCACTTAGTATTTTATTTGTCAGCTCAAAGTACAAGTACCACTTCGCGTGTAATGCAGCATATGGCACGACAAGAGTTAACACTGTGTTGAGTCATATTCCTGTAACAGATGCAGAGTATTTTGATTGACAGAGAAGTTTGTCTATAAATGTATGAGTACTCCACACGCAAGCACACATTCACCCGGATGACATACAGTCCGTGCAGAAGAAGGGACTCTTTCCACAATATGGTGTTCCGACTCTGTCTGTGTGTAGTGTTGCTTATTTCTTGTGGACATGCTAACATATCTGGCGACTACTGTCGAGTTTGGGACAACTACGACACATTTAAGACATCCATGGACCAGTATCTGGCTTCCAGGGATAAGGTCTGTGGGGAACAAAGACATGGACATTGGTGAGTATGTAGCAGTTGTTACTTAGTCACCCAACACACAATCTTCATACTTTTGTTTCCTGGTTTATGTTCTAGTTTGTCACCCATGCTTGTCGTAAGAGGCGACTAACGGTATCGGATGGTCAGGCTCGCTGACTTGGTTGACACATGTCATCGGTTCCCAATTGCGCAGATTGATGCTCATGCTGTTGATTACTGGATTGTGTGGTCCAGACTCGATGATTTACAGACCGTCGCCAATAGCTGGGATATTGCTGAGTGCGGCGTAAAAATAAACTCACTCACTCACTCTAGTTTGTCAACCATTTGTTTGTCCAGACCTGTGTACTCACAACCAAAGTGCAATGGGACTGAGTGTCTTTTCAGAATGAGTTAAAACACACACAGTTAAATGACAATAATAATAGCTCGAGTACTTATTTAATTCAGGACCGCCTCCGCGGTGTAGTGGTTAGAGCGTCCGCCCGGAGATCGGAAGGTCGCGGTTTCGATACCGACCGCGTCATACCAAAATACGTTAAAGTATGGTACTTGTTGGTCCCTGCCTGGCGTTCGGCATTAATGGGTACAACAAGGACTGGTCGGCTCGGAATCAGTCTAATGTGTCTGAGTGGGCTATTCATGCTTCACTGCGGCATGGTATCTCAGTGGGCTAGCACTATAAAACCAGCTTAGGTCTGGGCTAGTACAAGCAGCCGCACATACACATACACACGCATGCACGTCGTCGTATGAGCGAAATATTCTCAAGCACGACGTTAATCCCAATTTCACCTCACCTCACCTCACCTCACCTCACTTATTTAATTCACGTGATCTGTGAGTTGGTGTATACATTTTGGACAAGTGGTTGGTTCGTTGGTTGGTTGGTTGGTTGTGTTACGCCGCATATTGAATTAATATGCTATTTTGTCAGCTCTTGTACATATTTGATTTATTCTATTCATGAGCACAGGCTTAATCGCTGCCTCAGTTATTGCAAGTGTGGATTGTTTGGAACCAATTCTAATCCTGAATCTCCAGTAATTATCAAGGTTTTGCTGGTTTATTGCACTGTGAATTGTTTTTTCAGAGAGCAGAGCAGCAAACCTAACAAGTATGGACAAGCGTATAAATAACCTCGAGAAACAAATCGGTACGCAATACTTCTCTCAAACAGCATTATGTTGTTCGTTCCTACTGGTCTACGATCGTCACAGTAGTGTAGTGGACAGAGTGGAACCACTGCTGTTCAGGGTCGTTTGTCTGGGCGTTGGGGTTCGCTATATACTGGAACTTAACAATAATGACTACCTCTTGAGTATGTCTCTTTGATGGGCATTTTAGAAGTTGAGTTGATGAAGAATGATGATAATTTTATGCATATACGACTTCTTTTATTGTGAAAGGACACGTTTCGACATAGAATCTAATGCCGTTGTCAAACAAGTGATACATGAGAAACAAATTGAAAGAATACATATATGAGTTGTTATTACAATAGATATGGAATGAGTTGTTACAACGCTTGTATAGGAGATTGAGTGAGTTGCTTGGAAGCCAGTTGGCTGACATACAAGGACTGAATTAAAGCTTATACAAGTGACAGAAAGTCAGATGAATGTTTACACAATAAATGGGGTTGATGTACATATACTCAGCAGCATAAACAAACGTCAGTACGAATTCAAAATTAGATAGCCACTGTAATCAAACCATTACAGAAATGGACATAATACGCGGATCAAAAACATCTTTTCGCGTACAATATCTTGACACATCAATGAATAACTCAGCACAATTTCAAGACATTTAAAGAACGTTTGCAGTCCATTCAGACTCTTGCCTTTAGTATCTAGTGTGACCACCACGAGCGACAATAACTGCAGTACAGCGTCTATGCATGGATTGATGAAGACCATTGGCACCTGGAACCACACTCTGAGAGAAAGGCCTGGCTCAATAAATCGGCTGTGTTCGGCCTTGGTATGACATTATTCAGTCTCCCCACAATTTCATGCCAAAGATGTTCAGTTGGGTTTAAATCAGGACTAAATGCTGGCCACTGCATAATGTCGACACTGTCCCGTGTTGCTCTTGCAGTATGGGCCCGAACGTTAACATGCTGGAAAATGTTGTTCCGGTGACGCGAAATGTGGTATGACGTGGGGTCTGAGAGCTTGGTCGATGTAGCGCACCGCCTCTCCCTGGACCAAGGTTCTGGAACACCACAGGACCTACTCTCTGATTCAGGCCTATTCCACCCCATACCATGATGCTTGCACCTCCCCATAAGTCTCTTTCCATAACACACTGGTCTGAGTAACGCTGGCCACATCGTCGCCATATTCTTGTTCTGTCATCTGCAGTTGATGCGCAGTACCGACTCTCATCTGTGAACAGAACAGGTCTCCATTGCCTGTATCGCCAGTTTTGGTGTTGTAGGGCAAACTGTAGACGTTCACGCCGATGACGAGGGGTGAGGATAGGTCCACGGTAAGGTCTACGACAATGAAGGTTCCCTGCTGTTAAGACGTCTTCGTACTGTATCAGTACTGATTGGTCTTCCGTGTGTTCCCACTTCGTCTGGCGTGCCGTTTCGGATGTCTGCATGAAGGGATTCTGTATATGCTGTCGCACAAAATGGCGGTCTTGTCGTCTTGTGGTCACCCCTTGGTCTGCCAGTACGGGGATCATTTGTGGTGTTGGTAGCCCAGAAACGTTGCTGCAGTCTGTAGATGGTCCGAAGTGATTGGCAACGGCTTCCTAGCGCCTGATTCCTCTGAGCTGTCGTGACTCACGGCATCCTGTTGACGTTGTAATGTGAATGTTTCAACCAGGTTTGGGGTGCATTTTATAGAGCTGGTCCTTGTGAACAGCACGTGCAGCATGAGTTGCATGAAAACATGGAGAACACCGTACCATCGATCTCCGAGGTCAGGGTTGTGTTTTTGAGACCACATCCTGGGTTCAGTTCTGAGTTTGGGAAGGAATGTCTTTGCTCAGGTACAGTTGAAGATGTTGTAAAAATATCCAATCAACACATTAAACGAGTTTACAGTTATCTGTTTCTGCGAAGGAAAATTCCAAACTGACGTTTCTTTTGCTGCTTAGTATAGTTTGTATGACATGTTGCGAAAGGTTGTATTGAAACAGATAATGTTCACAAGAAATATGATTGATGATTACTTTATCAAGTGATGAAAGATGAAGGGTACGACATTCCTAATGCCTACCGTCACGTGATAAGCTCTAATTCAGTCCTTGTATATCACCCAACTGGCTTCCAACCAACTTACTCAATCTCCTATACAAGCGTTGTACATCAAGATGTTTGTAAATGTAGTATTTTGTCAGTTAAAATTTGGCTAAATGTGACTACAATCGCCAGCTGTTGAAGGGTTGATGCAAAAATCCGTCTAGGGTCCATGCAGGTAAAAGTACTGTAAGTCCCCGTGGTCCCTAGTATGGTGATCTACCTTCAGTTGCTTATGATCTATAGCCCGCTTTTATATTGTATTGTTGTCTATAGTGATATATGTTTATGATAGCGTACTAGTTTTGAATAAGAGCTGTGATACTCTAGTAGTTTTACTGTCCTTCGATGACTGGCCTTTACGTTTTAAATTTATGGATTTTGATATTGATGTAAATTAGATTGTTCTCGTCACGATATGGCTGAAATATTGCCAATGTGAAGCTAATTATTAACTCACTGACTCACTCACTAATTCTGCTTTGTACCACACATGATACGGTGGTTTAAGGTGAACACCGACTTGATGTTACATGTGTTTGTGTCTCCGGAAGGGCAGGACATCTTCTCCTTTGTGTGAATACAGGATATCATAGTGTTATCATATTTGGTAGTGATTCACAAAGTCAGAATCGAAAAAAATGGTATCTACCGTTTGCAAATATTTCAAAAGATTATTTATCTAAATCTAGAGTCCATATATACTGAGTCAAAAAGAAACTTCACAAAATGTAATTTGAAAATAATGAATATTGTTTCTCTGGTGATACATATATGTGTCAGAAATGGGATCCCTATCTTTCGACTCTAGAAAAACGTTAGCAAAACCCACTCAAACCCATCCATTCGTCGTGCAAATGACGTTAGTGCCAAATCAGGTTTTGCACGTGCAGTCGATCACGTGATCTTCGCATCGAAGTTTTCTTCATATGCACGTGTTTGCATTTGGCCTCAAGAATTGAAAAACATTTTTAAACCACAGTTCTAACGGTACTTGAAATGCCACGATTGTCAAATGTGCAACGTAAAGGTGCCGTTGGCATGTTGCAAGCGGGAAGATCAGTTATTGACGTCGCAAGAGCAATGGGATGCAGCCGTCGTACTATGTATGATTTGCGAGGTCGTCTACAACAAACTGGCACCACTTCTGATCGCCCAAGGTCGGGTCGTCCACGTGTGAGGTCACGAGCAGAAGACCGTCAAATCGTCCTACGTCACCTACGTGACAGATTTTTGCCGGCTACACGAACCAGGGCTGAGATGTTTAGAGGTCGACTGTCCTCACAGACCATTCGAAATCGGTTGCGGGCTGCCAATCTTCCATTCTCGACGTCCATATTGTGGGCCAATATTGACGCCGTTTCATCAACGTCAACGTCTGCTGTGGGCCCAACGTCACCTCCTATGGACCCAGAGAGACTGGAATCGAGTCGTCTCTTTAGCGATGAATCCAGGTTTACCCTCAGATTCGCGGACGGCAGGCATAGAGTCTGGAGACGACGTCGTGAACGGTATGCCCAATGTTGTGTACAGGAAGTCGACAGATTCGGGGTGGAAGTTGCATGGTGTGGGGTGCTTTCTGTGGGAACAACCGTTCCCGTCTTCTGGTCATCCGTTGAAACCTCACAGCTGCTGCTTACCGCGACCAGGTGTTCACCCTGAACTCGTTCCTTTCATGGTGGCTCATGGCCCTGGTCTACAGTTCCAGCATGATAATGCTCGGCCGCATACCGCGATATTTGACACGAAATTTCCTTCAAAACGCTGGAATCAACGTCATGGACTGGCCATCGAGGTCCCCTGACCTTAATCCAATAGAGCACGTTTGGGATGCACTTGGGAGAAGGCTTCGTGGTCAGGAGCCAACCTCAGAATTTGCAGGAACTTGGCGCTGCCTTGCAAGAGCAATGGCGCAGAATCCCCAACCACGTGTTCACAAGCATCAGGCAGTCGATGAGGAGACGGTGGTTGGCAGTGGTGAATGAAGCGGGGCGGCCATACACGATATTGAACTGAGAAATTTCGCATTTTTATTCTTGTGACTTGACATTTTTGTATACCCATGTTTTGGAACGGCGGTGTAGCCTAATGGAACTGATTATGGCACTGTCAGTGTATCGAGTACATCACACAGATCTCAGCAATGAAATAATAACAATTTAACCATCTTACCATCTCTTGTTCTTTTAAAGTGCCCTGAAGAAAGAATGTGAAGTTTCTTTTGACTCAGTATATGTAAAGTCATTGGTTTTGTTGCAGAGAAGCTGTTAAATGACAACGAAAACAGAGAGGATCGTCTCGGTCACATGGAGACTGCACTAGGTAATGCTTCTTTACATCAAATAATGCTGATTTCACTTCATATGTAATGCTTACTGGGGTTGGGACGGAAGGACATTTTGGAGCCTTCATCAGCAGTTTTAGACGTACAGACATTACTAATACGAACTGAAGAAAAGAAACGTGCAAATCTAGTAACACCATTTGTACTCATATCGATAATCCTAACAGGTGCTCGTTGTCAAAGCAGCGCATGCCTTTATAACGTCTATATGTATAATTACATTACAGCCAACCTGACGTCGGTACTGACTGTGGATTGTGGTTCTCCAACTCCTGTAGAAGGCACAGACGTTGTCTACACTTCAACAGGTCTTCATGCCATCGCCAGCTACAGATGCGAGAAGGGTTTTTATAACACCATCCATCCTGGTCAACGGATAATGAGCGTGTGTGAGAAAGACGGGTTCTGGACCATGGTCAACGAAAAGTGTGTCAACAGTAAGGGTGCAACCTAGTTCAATATCAAAATGAAAACTTCTTGAACTTCTGTTCTAAGCATCTCTTTTCCTCTTGATGTATCAGTTTCCCTTTTCGGTCTCTTCTAATAAACATAATTGCAAACTGAACGTCTTAAAGTCTGGTCCTTTTACTACTACTACAGCTACTACTTCTACAACTAGAGTTGGATGTCTTCTATAAAAGGCCGGGGCGGTGGGGTAGCCTAATGGTTAAAGCGTTGGCTCGTCACGCCGATGACCAGGGTTCGAATCCCAACATGGGCACAATGTGTGAAGCCCATTTCTGGTGTCCCCGCCGTGATGTTGCTGAAATATTGCTAAAAGTGGCGTAAAACCAAACTCAGTCAGTCTTAAAGGCCCTATTCCTCTTCACGCATCAATTCCCTTCCTCAGTTAAACTCGTGATGATTGACACGTCTGTATTCACTGTTTCACGTTTTCCTTTGACAGTATCTGGCTGTTGGACGTCACATGCTGGAAGTGTGTTCTATTCCGGAACTCGATCAACAACCAAAACCGGCAAGGTCTGTCAGCGATGGGATTCTCAAGAGCCACATGGACACCCCAATACGAACGACATGAGGTTCTTCATCCCAGGATTTGACACACCCCAAACTGTCACTGGATCTGCTAACTACTGCCGTGACCCAGATCGTACAGGGTCTGTATGGTGTTACACAACGGATCAATCTACACGCTGGGAAAGGTGTGATGTCCCCAAGTGTAACATCTAGAGTTGATTTGGTTTCAGACATGAAACTGGCCTAACTGTTCTGGTCCACTCTCCTACTAACGGAATCAGTTTTGTCAATACTGCCAGCCGTCAGGTCTATCAGCTCAACACTCCAGCTCTTTGTTTTCCCATCTTCTTCTTCTCTAGGGTTTCACAAATATTTTGTAAATCTCAGACCTGTAAATTCGACCCGTGAAGATCCGGGTTAGAATTGATCATTAGTAACCCATGCTGGTCGTAAGCGGCGACTAACGGGATCGGCTGATTAGGCTCGCTGACATGGTACACACATGTCATCGTATCCAAATTGCGTAGATCGATGCTCATGCTGTTGATCACTTGATTTTTGGTCCAGGCTCGATTACTTACAGACAGGTGCCAACATACTAGTAGCTGGAATATTTCAGAGTGCGGCATTAGACTAAACTCAATCACTCTCTCACTCACCTGTAACTTCAAGTTTCTTCGCACATTGAGGTCATAACCTGTGATATAACTAGAAAACAGTTCAAAGGGGGTGTAAACTCTGTCTTTTAATGGTAATGCTTACTTTGAGATTAGTTGATGCTATATTATCCCATGGGAAGTTGGTTTGATGCACTAAGAAGCAAACAAATGTCAGTGGGGATTACAGGTGAGAACAGTTGTAGGGAACCACTCCAACCTGGCCTGTACTAAAGAGTTGATATCCAGAATTGGGTGAGAGCAGCTCCTCTTACCTCTATATAAGATACTGTTGCTCACAATGTGAGTCACCGGATTCTCTAGTTCAGCTCGATTGTTCACAGGCCTCGGTCGTATAGCTGATTCATTAACATATAAATGAATGTATACTCATGAAATTAATAGGGGAACACATGAAAGTACATATGTTCCTTTATATATTTCCAGAATCTTATACACTGTGCAATACATACCCTGTGAAGAAACTTAGGTAAAGAACAAAGGAACCCTTGTACTTTCATGTGTTCCCCTGAGAGAATGAGAATATATAATGCGATGATGTCACACATACTGTGATGGAAAGACTGTCTGTCAATCATTGCTTGATGAATAAATAGTATCGAAATACGGTATCATGTTAAAAATTGTTGTGTTCAATATTACTACAAATTCAAAAGTTCAAAATTTCCACTTTTGTTAAAAAATCATTCTCAACACTGTCATCCCTTTTGCTGTCTCCTGGCAGATAGACGTGTAGCCAGAGATGGGATGGTCGGTTGTTCTATCCCTTTTGCTGTTACAATGCATATGGGATGGCAGATAGACGTCTAGCCAGAGCTTGGACGGTCGGTTGATCTGTCCCTTTTGCTGTTACCATGGGATGGCAGACAGACGTCTGCCCAGAGATTGGACGGTCTGTGTCGGATATATTGCCTATCTTTCTGCACAATATGTTCCCAACATCAGATCAGTTACTGGTAATGTGTTACACAGGTTCCACGACAATAAGTAACATATAATAATTGTACGTAATTGAGTGATGTACCCATAGTTGCAAGACTCGCCCGTAAGTAATAGAGTGAAGTACCAATAGGAGCATGACTCAATGTAACAGAGTATGTAGATTGTGTGAAAGGAGTTTCCTGTGAGCAGGTCTTAGATGCCTACCACTTTTATGAAAGCCATTAACCTAAGTATAATGCTGACATACGAAGAAACAGAATCAACGCGAAGTGGAACTGGAACCAATGGTCAAAGGTTTATAATATTCAAACATTCTAATATTGCAGCTCAACACCGAGGGGGAAAAAGCGTTACAGACATAAATCTACAATGACTACAAAGGACCAGTCAGTGACGATACCTTCTCACTCATGATGGATTTACCAGCATTCTCTGTGATTCTAACAGCATCACCGTAACTTTCAGACTCCAATTGTTCTGTGATCTCTTGAACAGTTTTACTCTCAAACAACATGTTTCCGCTGTTACCCATAAATCAGGTCACATCTTGGTCTTGGTTCTCACCAAAGAAGACTGTGGATTAGTTAAGAGTCCGACAGCTGCTGATGAGAATATTTCTGATCACTTTGTTATTAGATGTATTTTTGATCCGAGTAAGCCAATGCCACCACGCAAGGTAATCTCATATCGAAAGACTAGAAACATTAATATCGATGATTTTGCATTTGATATTGACACCTCGGAAGTGTTTGACTGCGTTTCTGAAGCAACAGATGTGAATGACAAAGTGTTTGATGAAACACTTGAGCAGATTCTTGACAGTCATGCACCTCTGAAATCCAGAGTAGTTGTTAAACGCCCCAAAACAGGATGGTATAATGACAATATCAGTGACTTGAAAAGAAGCGCCGTACCGCTGAAAAGATATGGCGAAAAACACACCTAGAAATTCATCGTCAAACGGATTGTAATGCTCGCAATATGGTGAACAGTGAATTACGTTCGGCAAAGCAGGCATTCATCTCGAAAACATTAAGCAGAGTAAAACAATCCGCGGCAACTACACCTTCTCCTCAGTACCCTCCTCAAGCGAAATTCTAACTGTTGTCTTCCTGAACACAGTGATCTGAAGAACTTAGCAGTAAAATTGAAGACATTCGCAGTGATTTGCAAAGTAGACAGGAACTGTGCACCATGGTCTTTGTTGAGGTTGATTTCACCGGAAAAACACTCACCACATTTAGAACTCTTACAAGTCCTGATTTGAAGCTGGTCGTTTATGCAGCAAACGTGAAAACATCATCTCTTGATGTTCTGCGAACCTGGCTCACAAAATCCACGCTTTCTCATCTACTTCCAGTTGTGTTGGACATTTGCAACTCTTCTCTCTCAGTTGTGGTGAAGTACCCAGTGTCTATAAGCAGGCTGTGATCACACCACTGTTGAAGAAACCAACACTTGATGCAGACAATTTCAGAAACTACAGCCCAGTGTCAAATTTGTCCTTTCTGTCTAAATGTCTCGAGAAGATAGTTGCAAACAGAATTGTGGAACACCTTCAACAATATGACTTGATGGAGCCCTACCAATCAGCGTACAGGTCAAAGCACAGTACAGAGACTGCGCTAGTCCAAGTACACAATGACATCATGACTGCCATGGACCAACGTTAGGTGACTCTCCTTGTTTTTGCATCTCTCCAGTGCTTTTGATACTGTTGATCACCAAATTCTTCTGCAGCGTCTGAGGGTCAGAGTCGGTATTGATGGAATTGTCCTTGAGTGGATACGTTCTTACCTATCTGATAGGTCTCAGTCCGTTAAAGTGGAATCATACTCTCCAGTCCATTACCACCTTCTCTATGGCGTTCCCCAAGGATCTGTCCTCGGACCTTTACTGTTTATTTTGTATATTCTTCCCATTGGTGACCTTGTCCGAAAGCACTCACTGAAATTTCATCTCTATGCTGATGACAATCAGTTATATCTGTCAGCGGAGCCTAACCTTGCTGAGGATTGTGCACTGAAGATACAACAATGTATTGCTGAATTAAGAGACTGGATGACCTTGAACTTTCTGAAATTGAATGACACCAAGACTGAGTTTTTGACCATCGGATCCAGGCATCAACTTTCCAAAGTGCCTGACAGTTTATCTCTTGAAATTGGACAAGATGTTATCACGCAGTCTGACTCTGCAAAAAATCTTGGTGTCATCTTTCAATCAACAATATCATTAGAAAATCAAATCAAATGACTCAACAAAAGATGCTTCTACCACATCTTCAATATTAGCAAGATCCGAAACCACTTAGACTTCAACACCGTCCAGCTTCTAACGACCAGCCTTCTTCTCTCTAAACTTGATTACTGCAACTCCTCTATTACAACATTCCTCAACAGCTCAAACTACAACGGATTCAGAATTCAGCCGCCCGTGTTGTTGCCCGTGCACCACGCTACCAAACTGTGACACCTATCCTCCAAACTCTTCACAGGCTTCCTGTATCAAGCAGAATTCAATACAAACTTCTTACACACAGCTGCATCTATGAAAACATGTTTTCTCAATATCTTAAAAGCCTCTGATTATACATATTGCTCCGTTTATCAACATCCTACTGCTTACACCCTTCAATAATAGCGTTGATCATACATATTTACTGATCATACATTAATACATTTACTGATTATACATATCTACTGATTACACATATTTACTGATCATACATATTTACTGATTATACATATTTACTGATCAAAATATTTACATATACATACTGATTACATTATATTTACTGATCATACATATTTACTGATCATACATATTTACTGATCATACATATTTACTGATTATACATATTTACTGATTATACATATTTACTGATCATACATATTTACTGATCATACATATTTACTGATTATTTTTACTGATTATATACATATTTACTGATTATACATATTTTCTGATCATACATATTTACTGATTATACATATTTACTGATCATATATATTAACTGATCATACATATTTACTGTAGCATATATACGTAACATAGTTTTAATGTTTTTGTATGTTTGTTGTTTAACGCCACTTTCAGCAATATTCCATTCAGCTAATATATTAGCTTTTATGTCGGCGGTCTGTAAATAACCGAGTCAGAAATGACAACGTGGTTAAGAGACCATCTGACAAACTACTGGCACGTCTTCACAGCACGCATGTGATTCGTTCAAAGAGGAAAGCGAAGTGGAATAGTCTTCTTACAAGAAAGAACTAATATCATCTTAAGAAATACCTTGATGACTACGATCACAGAGGCTGTAGCATGATCGAATCCATTAGTTTATTGTTTTGTTGAAGTTGGCAACACATTTATGCTACAGAACCTTGAAGATAAACAAAAGATATTTTACAACGCATGACCAGAACTAATATCGGCGGGTAACTCTGCCTTTACCGGACATTCTCAACGTGATTCATGCAGATATGAACAAAGCCCACAACGATAGAAGTACAATATTGGATGATCTTATCTTCAGTTCTCAGAGACATGGTGTGTTTTTAACAAAAGTTTATGAATCCACAAACCTATCACTTCACGTGAAATGAAATGTATAAATACCCCAATGACTCGTTTTCGATTTCTGTTGATTCTTGAAGACATGAAGAAGATATTGCTCTGCGTGCTCATGGCCACTGAGTGGGCGTTTGCCTTTGAAATACCTGACCTGTCTGCGAAGTTCCAGGCACCATCTTTACCAAAACAGACCAATGTCTTCTCCAGGATTGGGGGACTCCTGCTAGGTAATATTTGGCTGAAGTACTCATCCAACAATTCAAACGCAATTAACGGGTCTTCACTTCATCTTATAGAATTTCTCATACTTGTCAAAGTCATCTTAAATGCTCTCTGCTATTGTGAAAAACAAAGTAAATACTTAGTGCACGAAAAGTACTTGTTCCAGGAGCGGCGTCACATTATATTATTGCTTATAGACCTTGTTAATATACCCAGGTATATGGACAAGCTTTTTTGAAATGCCACTTAGACTATGCATATTTTCGCATTTAGACACACCAGGATCTGCCTTTGATAAGATGAACTCATCTGTATCAAACTTGACAAAGCGTGTCAACGAACTTGAAAAAGACAGAGAAGATGAAAGTAGGTGTTTCAAATATTTTATTTCAAATTTTGACTGTTAAGACACAATAAATTGTTCACAATTTTTGTTGTTGCCATATCACCTTTTTACGCACAACACTAAATATATAGTACACATATAGCACTCATGGGACGGTCACGTTTTCAATGTAAATTTGAGTGAATGAGTGTGTTTAGTTTTACGCCGCACTCAGCAATATTCCAGCTATATGGCGGAGGTCTGTAAATAATCGAGTCTGGACCAGACGATCTAGTGATCAACAGCAGTGAGCATTGATCTGCACAAATGGTAACCGATGACATGTGTCAACCAAGTCAGCGAGCCTGACCACCCAATCCCGTTAGTCGCCTCTTACGACCAGCATGGGTTTCTGAAGATCGATATCCTAACGGGTAATATAATGTACAGGAAGGTGAAACGAAAACACCATTTTAATACATTTGATGGATTGCGGGGGACGGATTAAAGACGTTCTGGTGGAACAGAAATAACCAGTCAA